CATATTGGAACAAAGGACTTACCCAGCAGTGTAAAAAAAGAGGACTTTGTTCATCTATTAAGTCTTTGTTCCGAATCATGGGAGAACTCTCAGATCCACATTTTGCCAGTTATCTACCTTTAAGACTTTGGAAATGAAATCATGATAAAGCCAATACAGAGATCTATTTGGCATGCAAACAATTTCCAGAAGTACAAATTGTAGATGAATATTTGCCCACAGAAAGCATATATTATGATAAAATTCATCTGAACATGAAGGTGGGTTTACCAGCTATAGTTAAACACTTAAAGGAAGCCCTTGGCATAAAGACAGTATCCCAAGCTCCATCGGTAACTCTGAAATCTCTAACAAAGGGACAAACGGAAAGAATTTCTGCTGCTGTTCCCCATTTAGCACCATTCGGTCATCAGGCTACACCGCCCCCTTGGATCGGCCCACAATCAGTGTCCCCACCTCCGTGGTTATTCCCATTCATCAATTGGCGCAACCCATGGGCAATTCCTCCACCTCCTCCACCCAAGTGTTACTAATTTTATACTAAATACAGAGCCTTGTATGTTTTTCATTTTCATACCTATTAAGGTGTTAATGTATTTCAGTACACGTGTATAAATTCAGATACAGTGTTAGATCACATTATGTACCGGTATGTAATGTGTATGATATTGATATTGTAGATATCCATGCAATAATAATCTCCATCAGCTCTTTTTGATAAAATTATATTTGTATTATGTGTAGAAAGCAGTTACATGTAGGGTACAATGAACATTTTTTGAAATTAGGTATGTGGAATGTTGAAGACCTCACAAGTGTGAAGACCTCTGACCCACAATTTCAAAATATTTTTTCCAATTTTAGCATTATCAGTTTTGTAGAAAACTGGTTGGTTGATATTGATGTTAACAAAGATATTACACTGAATAATTTTCAACTGGTTCACTCTAGCAGTAGGAAAAAACAGAAAAAGGCTAGACGACATTATGTATTTTTGCAAAGAATTGTATTATAAGAGGAATAATTACACTGAAAAACAGTCATCCAGATATATTATGGATTAAACTTGACCGTAACTATTTTAAACTAAATAGAGATATTTATTTAGCTGCAGTCTACATTTCACCAGAATACTCAGGTGGAAATAACACCGATTTAGAATCAATATATTCATTTTTGCTTAATGACGTTGAGAAATATAGTAGATTAGGAAATATTATTGTTCAAGGTGACTTCAATGCATACACTAACACCCAACCAGTTCTTATTTTGTTTGACATTGATTCTCATCGAGTTAATGATGATGACTTAAATTATCGATACGATAATACATTGTCAAGAAATAATCTTGACCACAAACACACTAACAATAGTGGCAAACTTCTTCTTAACATATAAAGAATCTGGATTAAGAATACTAAATGGTAGAACGAGTGGTGATCTTACTGGTAAGCACACCTGTTTCACATATAATGGGAGCAGTCTTGTTGACTACACACTTTCCTCCCAAGACTTAGTCAAGTCTGTTGGATATTTTGAAATCCATGAATTTAAATTATTTTCAAACCACTGTCCAATCAGCTGTTCTTTGTTTGTCAATGATTTTTCTGAACAAGAAATTAACAATGTATGTAAATTAGACCCTTTACCAGGAAAATTTATTTGGACTAAAGAATCTGTTGAATTGTATTCTAAAAATATCAAGAGTTCAACATTCAGAGCAAGATTTTCTGAATTTATTGATACTGATTATGAAAATAGTGACACAATTGTGAACTCATTTAACACTATATTGCAAGATTGTGCAAAACTTTCAACAAAATATGTGGCAAAAATACCAAAATACCAAAAAACCATGGTTTACTGAGTCATGTACTGATCTTCGAAACACAGTGAAACAATATGAAAAGTTAGTAAATCAATATCCTTTTAATGGTCAATATAGAAAACTCTTTTACACATACAGGTCTAAATACAGAAGGCTATGCAAACATGAAGAAAAATCATACAAACAAAAAATTTGTCATGAAATTAACAACAGTCTTGATACCAATCCCAAAACATTTTGGAAAATGTTGCACAAACTAGATTAAATGCAGAATATGCATAACAACTCTCCTGATCTTCCCTGTGATATATTTTATCAGTATTTCAAAACACTGAATACTGCGAATAGCAATCAGAATGATTTCCACAAATTCATTGCAGAACAGTTTAATGTTTTAAAACAGGAACTAGAGAATGATGTTAGTCCCCCTATTGCAACTCAAGAAATAATGAATGCTATAAAAAATCTAAAACAAGGTAAAAGTACATCCATGGATCTTATTAGTCCCCTACCGGTGAAACCGGAGGGGACTATAGGTTTCCTCTGAGTCTGTCCCTCTGTCTGTCTGTCTGTCCGTCAGTCTGTCCCACTTGGTTTTCCGCACTTTTTTTCTAAACGCTTGTAGATATTGAGCTGATTTTTGGTATGTGACTTTAACGTGATAAGTTACAGATCAAGTTTGAATTTCGTTCCGCTTCATTGATTTTTGACGGAATTATGGCATTTTCTATTTTTAACGGGAACCAGATTACACTTGCCGGTAGGGGACTAGTATTGCTAATGCAATACTCTCAGAATGCTTGTTTCAAATGAAATGTTAAAAAATGGAGGTAGTGTACTACTGAAGCCACTACAAAAAATGTTCAACTTTATTTTAAACTCAGGGCAATTTCCTACTTTATGGAATGAAAGTATTCTGGTACTCTTACATAAATCTGGTAACAAACTTGATCCTTGTAATTACAGAGGTATATCCATTACATCAAACCTAGGAAAACTTTTTAATAGGATTATTCATTTCAGATTGCTAGATTTTATCAAGGATGCATCGCTAATTAGTGAAAATCAAATTGGTTTCAAAGAAAAAAGCAGAACATTAGATCATATTTTTACAATTAAGACTATAACAGATTATTATAAAAACAAAAAACAAAAGGTTTATGCAGCTTTTATCGATCTCCGTAAAGCATTTGACGCTATATGGAGGGTTGGACATTTATAGTTATGTATAGCCTCACATTCTATACTAAAATATTGTATATTTATGTATGAACAATTGATGATTCTTATAATGTGTTGTACCTTTGCCAATTATTGTAATTGTGTTTGCGCCAATTAATATTTGTATTTGTATTTGTATACCACGTTAAAGCAAACACAATATCAAGGGCACATGTGGTCAGGCTCTTGTAAAAAAAAAAAAATTAACCCATAGTATGATAATAACTTATTAATTTACATGTGTTATACTATATGGGTTAAAAAATTTATTACAGAAAATTAAACAAGTGTCTGTGATGAAGGGCAATAATCACCAATTCTATATCGACAGCAGGAAAGAAAAATCCGCATATATGGAAAGTAAAAATAAAAACATTTAATCTAACGTGGATACCATAACTACATACCTTTAGGTAGTACACAATAGATAGGCCAAATTTTTCCTCAAATTCAATTTTGTTCAAACTTCAATATTTTGTTCTAGGATACAAAATCTCTCTTTATATGTAATATGAAAGAAATTCAACCGTACATTTTTTGCCCACATAGTTTGAAATATGGCCTATTAGACCCCTGTAAGAAGATTGTGAAATCAGATAGCCGACCTGAGATTGTGCATTATTTAAAAATAACCAATTGATCTATTGTAAACTTGTGTGATGCTGTTTATAAAGGCAACCTTTTTGTAATAAAATTTAGTAAAATATTTTGATACCGGTATATTTGAGTAAAATGTGATGTAAAAAGGAGAACATACATAGCCCAGGAATTGAAAATTTAATGTAAATATGCCACACGTTAAGTCCTATTTAAAGAAAATGTATGATTCAATTTTTACAAAAAATCAACAGAATAATTAAAATGGAACCCAGATTAAAATATGTCAAATGAGGAAATTTGAACCAGTAGTTTCAGATATTTTGGCGATTTTAAATAAATCAAATGAAAAAAAATGCAAAGATTCAGTAAATGACGTCATTATAACTGACGTATTACTACGACCTTGACCTTTGTTGTACAAAGAGAATAGAGAGTCCTTATAAATATGTCTAAATATCAGGTCTCTACTATAAATGGATCAAAAGTTACTTTCCATTTATTAACAGACAGTCATATGGCATGTAGATGGCATAAATACGATCCAAAAATGTAGGCTCCCGAATGATGAATATATAGGATTCTATATTTCTTCAAAATGTGGTGAAAACATGTCATGCTTATTATTTTTCTTACAAAGATCCTTGATTATTGACATTATAGTGACATTATAGTGAAATTATTCTTTATTCTGGTGAAATTTAGAAGATATGCATTAAAACAGATTTCATGGGTGTTGTGTACTATGCGATAAGTCCTTTAAGAATCTCTAAATTTCTCTTAACAGCTTAATTAATAGAATTATGAATGCAATTTTTAGGGAAAATAGTCTTTTAATCTAGTAACTTCTTTTTTTTTTTAATGGATTGGTATTGCAAAGTTTCTGTAGAATACCTATCTACATACTGTTAAACTAATTAACCTGTACTAATCATGGTATCTCTGATACATAAGTTCTCTTTTAGTATCAGAGAGTGTGAATTGATATGAAAGGCTAGTTTTAGGTTATATTTTTGATTTTTCAGTTGTAATACTTTGTAAATGTTTCATAGAAAAATATTTTATTTAAAAATACGGAACACGGGTTGGGGGGGGGGGGGGGAGGTCCGTCCTGAAGCACCTGTGGTTCAATAGGCATTTTTTGATGAGTATTCAAAACAGTTAATTGTCAGTAACACTGACTTTTTGGGTATTGGCAGAGATATAAATCATGTACAACATGTTATGTGTGTCTTTATAATTAAACCGATTATAAAAAAAGCCGAATTTGACGCAAATATTCTATTCAATACACCTGTGTTCTATTTATAGATCACTGAGTTGTCAAACCGGTTAGGGGAACTCTTCTTTGTGCGAAGTAAAGAAACCTCATACCTCACCCAAACAAAAAGTCGTTTGGAGTTCGTGGAAAGAAGTTGAATAATTTAAGTTAAATTCTTGACCACGATGGATCGGGAGGCGGAACACCTGCCTGAGTACAAGAGGATGCATCATCTGACTTATCGGAGGAATTGTCGCGTGGTGACTGTCGTTTGGGCGATCTTCTCCGCCTGTTTTGTGATCCTCAATGCTGTGGCATTCATTCAACCCCAGTGGCTAGGGGATACGGAGACATCCCCAGGGGTGGGGTTTTTCGGTCTATATGAATACTGTGAACGCCTTCAGGTGGGAGGAGAATATAGCTGTCGGGGAGATTTCTTAGACTTTACATCCGTCACTAACGATTCCTTCCGTGCTGCCAGCATGCTAGTTGGTCTATGTAACCTGTTGTTTATTTTTTCTGTCGTCTGCCTGCTTTTGTTCTGCTTCTTGAAAGCAGCCACGGTTTTGAGAATTTGTGGAGTTCTACAGGCGATTGGATGTAAGTGGTTATTTATGAGATCAATTTGTTAACTACTAGTAGTTGAACAAGTTTTAGGTAAGTTAGGAGGGTTGGTGGGGATTACAGTGTGTACAATTGTTCTAAGTAGTACTTAGAATAATCTAAATGTGTCTTGGTACAGGCCCCCACCACAGGTAGAATGCCTCCCATATACCATTGTTTGAAATAACTGTGCACCCGACTGCCCGTGATGCACAAATTTTGCCATGGACGAACAGATTTCCACGTATCAATGCCTGACTGGATGTGTTAAAATTTTGATAAATTTCTCTCAAATCAACTAACAGTATCGCTAGCTAAGTGCAGGGTTCGACATTAACGTTAGTCTGTTAGTCTCAGACTAATGCATTTTCATTCGGACTAATAAAATCTGTGGCTAATTAGTCCGAACGGACTAATAAAAATTTCTGGAAAAAATAAATAAATTACCGATGTTAGATTCTCGACAACTTTCACTGGGAAACCCAACATATATTTTTAGCTTCGTGGCGGGAAGTTAATTTCAAGTCAATTCGGTGCTTAATTTTAGGACTGATTGGTATGAAATTAAACATTTTAGCGATCATAGTTTAGTATAACACATAAAGAAAGATGTCGGACGTTTGGATGTAATGTATAGAGAAAAAAATGAACGAGATCAGGAGCAAGATCGTAGTTCCTGTTTTTTTTTTGATGGACTCATAAAATCGCGTGCGGACTAGTAAAAGTAAAGAAGCACTAATCTGGCCAGACTAAAGCCTAAAAATGTTAGTGTTGAACCCTGAAGTGAAACAAACAAAGAGGTAGAATTTGACAGCCTATAGATTCAGGATAGAAGTTATGGTGATCATGCCCCAATCACATTATCGTGCTTAAAAACAAATTTATAAAAAGTGTTTCATTTTCTCGTGCTAGTATAGAGTTTTGGCAGGGCTGACAACTTTCACTAGCAGTCAGCCCTGCATGTCTAAATAATTCACTGTGAGTTTCAAACACTGCATATACCTGCAATGAAGCAGAAAATTGCAGATTTGCTCCAAAATGATATTTGAGAAAATAATTGAAGTTGCATTGAAATTAACTATTAAATTAATAATAACAAACCTGTTTGAGATTGTGGATACCTTTCATCCCAAAAATTTATCTATATATTGGAGGAATTTAACACCTTTTCTCAAAGTTTTTACTTGTTTCAAATTTACATGTACACCATGTTGACATTCAGCACACTCTGGATTGTCATAGTATATGCATTTAGTTCGAATTAGATAGAACGTTCTATCATTATAATAATATTGTCCGACAGACTTGGTTTAACGATAGAATTCATTCCCTGTATTGGCAATGTAGCAAAGAAACACAGGTGATAACTCCAACTTGGTGCATTTACAATGAACAATCCAGAGAGTTCCAAATGTCAACATGGCGTGTAAATTTGAAGTGAAAAAAAACGTTGAGAAATCGAGTTGAATTTTCTTCTTTATATAGATTATTTTTTAGGTTAAAAGGCATATACAATCTCAAAACTGTTTAAAATTATGATCATGATGATTAATTTGGTTGTTATTTTCAGTGCGTCTCCTTTTTTTATTTTTCAAAATCATTTTGGAGCAGATCCACTTTGATTTGCTACATTGCAACTCTATGGGACATATTCTAACTGTGTTGAGGGCTTGTCCCGAGACGCAGTTAGATAATTCTAAGTATAACTTCAAGTTATCACCCTTGTATATCTTTCCATTGTTAGACCTGCAGGTCCATAGACCTGTTTAATTAAAGGACTTATCGCATGTTTCTAAATTATTTGAAATTAAAAGCGTATTACGTTCCTTATGACCACAATTTATAAATTGTGTGTTTTTACTGTGGATAAATCGCGGTAATTAACCAATTATTGACTCAAATGAAAACCCCTGAATTAAAAATCTAAGTTAATTAGATAGCGATCACGTGACCCTGTGACGTCAAAGGCGACAATGGCTGATCAGCTCTTCATTAATCTTACTAAAATATACGCGATACAACCTGAATTTTCTGCGTTGTGGACGACCAAATCACTTATTTTATCGATATAAATTGAATATTCAACCTTATATGCTAGAATTGTCAGCAAGAAAAAATCTGTTAACATTGTAAAAATAGCAGCGACGATAGCGAGGGAGACGCAGCGAAGACGAAGAAACTCGCCATAACAGTGCAGTTTGATCTGTCATCTTATCAAGTGTATTAACTTATTTGATTCACAAATTAAACATTATATAACTTTGTTATTCTTCGTTTTGTATATAACATTAATTTATGCAAGTCTTTATATGTTTTTTAAAGGATGGCGATCTTGAAAAGTAAATTCCCGATCTCGAAACATTGCCGTAATTAGAGCTACAGGTTCTAAATATTTTTAATAAAAAACGAAAATATCTTAAAAGCATTATACCTTAGAACTAATTAATGTTCTATAGTAATTGAAAAGCATATAAGGAATTCATTTTTTCAGCATTTTTCGTAATTAAGCTGCATTTGTTGTTGATAACTCCGTAAATAGTGTGCATATTCTCATCTCTCTATCACCGAATTGTCGCCTATGACGTCAGAGCAGTATTTCGCCGAAATCCGACTGAAATATGCATATTGCCGTATTTGAATTTCAGCTCTCCATATCTCTTAAAATATGCTGTCAACAACGTTTATTGTATTCAGTATTTTAATAAATAAGGTTATAGCTAGATAATATTTTTCATAAAATTACGATTTTTGAAAGATCATGCGATAAGTCCTTTAAGGAGTACTTGTAGGAAATTAAGATGTCTATTGACTAAAGCACTTGTGTGTCAAATTGCATTCTAATGAAGGGGGGAGAAATGAAATTTTTCTAATGAAATTATTTCTATCGACGTAACCAAAAATTGTTGTATAAATTAACGCAAGCAGAGTTGTGGTACTTAAGAATTAATCAGGTATAGATCAGATATGTGGATATATGGTTGAAGGTCCTATAGTTGTATGTGCTTGACCACTGGTCCAAATCAGATATGGCCCACATAGACCTGGGTTGCTTTATGTCTCGATGATATGTTTTTGATAAATTGCTTTAAAATATGAAATTCTTAATAAATAGTAAATTAGAGTACACTGTAAGTTAAAATATTGGTCAGGTGGAATGACTAGTAAAATTTCATTTAACTACCACTTAATTGATTGAAATTTAAGTGTCAGTTAAAATGAAAACTTCCACTTAGCAAAGATACTCTCTTAAACACATGATGTGATGACTGGGCACTCAAGGGTATATAGGACAACAGGACGTAAGATTTTAATAAGACTATTACTCTTTTTTTGGACAAAATTGGTCAAACCTATTGATCATGTAGACACATAATGAAGGCAGAACTATATATCACAAACATAATTTACTGATCATAGTATTTAATATATGTATATTGTAGGTGTGTGCATGGCTTTGGGATGCATTATTTACCCTAATGGCTGGGATGATGCGATGGTTCTAAGGACGTGCGGTAAGGATGCTGGGAAGTATCGAGTCGGACAGTGTCAGGTCCGCTGGGCGTTTATCCTCTCTATAGTACTGGTCTTTGATGCCATTGTTCTCGCTGCTCTGGCGTTCATCATGGCTGCCAAACAGGCAAACCTCCTACAGAAATCTGAGTACCGCAAACAAAAATGTAAGTATCAAACAAAAGTTTGTTATCTTCTTGTGTTTCAAGTATTCTATATTTATCAGTGTTACATGTAGATCTGTCTTGGTTCGTAAGAATGATGGTGTTGATGAAATTGATCATGATGAATGATGGTTTTTATGAAATTGATAAGTAACTAATTTATCAAAAATAAATCATTTAATATCAAATTTCAAAGTGTATATCTATAGAAATATGATTGAATGATGGTAAATTAATAAATGAAAAAGAATTTTATGTCTTATAGAACCAAGATCGATGCATAAACTGTATATACATATATATATTTGGGTTAATTTCAGTTTGCAGTGATGGAGATGTTAAAATAGAACTTTCAGAAAAGAGATTCTTTTACATATTTTATGATATATACCAGTACAGTGTATCAGTAGTGTTCTTTTTTGTGTGGGAATGTAGCTTATATCTATTCTCATTTCAGAAAAATTCAATCACGGCAAATTGGGCATTGATAAAGTTTTATAAAAAAAAAAAATCATTTCCTATATAATATATATGGGTAAAGGACATGAATCTTATATTAATTCAGATTTTTCTCTTGTTTTGAACATTATCTGATTATCTGGTTAGATGTAGTTATGTCTTTTAACATGTTTAAGGATACAAGTAGTGACTTACAACATGTACAATATGCAAGTTAAAAATGGAGAAATTTAATCATATGTAAATTTTGGAGTACTTGTGTGCATTGCTTATTTTTTTGCAGATTTAAAGTAAAAAAAAATTATCTAGAAAAAGGTATGACATGATACTAATTCTATGAACAACTAACAATTATAAACCTGCATGTGTAGTTTAGTTTCTGATGGTTGACAAGGATACCTTGAGTCGACCATCTTTTTCTACTGTTACTACTAACCAAAATTGTCTGAGGCCTCAACAGCATGTCAGTGTGTCAGAATATTTCTGTATTCAATGCATGTTTTTCAGAATATAATGATAACTTTACTAAGGCAGATCTAAATGATTACAAATGTGTGATTTACAAATAAGGTGACATTCTTGTCAGTAATTGTGTTTATGATTTACGGTATATGATCTTGACTAGCTACTTCCTTTATCATGGCTGTATCAGAATTCAAATTATCAAACGTGCAAAGAACACCTGAATAAATCTCAATAAGGGAACCCAAAAATCTTTATTAATGCATAACTTGTTAATTATTAAATTCAGTTCTTAAAAAAAAAAATGGTCAGACATTTTAATTTTCTACAGTTTATCACAGATTTATTTTTCGTACACATTTTCCTTATTGATAACATTTCCTATTCCTTAATTAGCACAACTCAATATCTGAATAGCCCATATTTTGACTAAGGCTCAACATTTCTGTTTTTTCCTTAGCGTATAAATTTGATAGCAGTTCATTGTCTTCTTTTTTTTCATGATGAGTATTGTTAATCTTGAAACTATAGCCAAGATTTCTAGCTATTTTTTTTACACTACTTGAATGACACTATATTTTCAACAACATTTTAATATCAAATGACAATTTTAAAGGTCAAATCATTTATCATGTTTATTATATGTTTAAACCTTTTGTTTTTCAAGCTTTGCCAACTTTTGACAATTCACCATTTGACTTACATTTTTAGCATGTTCAGATTTTTTATTAAATCTCTACTAAATGTATTTTTATTGCTTGTGGTTTTATATCCAGCATGTCATGTGATTGCCGTTCAACAATTGTTTGACTGGTTCTCAAACCAAATGATTACATCCACTGAACATGTGAAGATAAATTACATTAACTGCCTGTTTGCCGCTAAAATAGGATTGAATGACTGCAAAGTTTCTACTTGTACAAATGCATGAATGTATATACGTCGCATTCTTTATGCATGTTTATTTATGCCCTGTTCACACGGAGAGTTTAATTCGAATTAGACATAAGTTACTGCGAATTAAATTTGAACCGCATTCACACGGAGAATTTAATGCGAATTAGTTTAATTTGAATTAGTTTACTGCGCATTAAATTACTTCATATTAGCTCCATGTGAACGCTAAGCGAAGCTAATTCGAATTAAATTTTGACGCATGCGTAAGGACAGAATTAAGTCAAAGACCACATGTCTGTTAGATATAGTAACTTGTGCTAGTTTTGAGTGGAAAACAAAAGAAAATTATGTTGATCAATAAAATGTGTACAGACACTATGACATTATTTATCTGCTCTGCACAATGTGACGTGATTTGAAAATGACGTCATAATAGGCTTACTAAATAGCCTTACTGTAGAAATATAATTTTGATTCGCATTAGTTTACTTTGGATTAGCTCTCGTGTGAACGCAATCTAATTCGCATTAGTTTACTTCGAATTAATTTACTGTGAATTAAACTCTCCGTGTGAACAGGGCATTAAATTACTGCAAAATTTATGTATTGATTACTTAGCACAGCTATAATATTTTCATGAATTTCAAAGTCTTATAATCCATGAATTGATGAAATGATATTGTGTTTAATATAAATTGAAGACTTGAAATGATATTTTGTTCATGAGTTTCAACGACAAAATACGAGTCCCTCTAAAATAAGCACACACATTGTATGTTTACTTATATTACATCGTATGATTTTGGCAGTTTACTGTTATAATGGTATTCATGCATGAAGATTGAAGAAGTATCAGGATTTTTCTAGAAAAGCCTTGATGACTGCACAATACACATATATCTTCAGCATGTTCACTTCACTCTTAAATGACTGTCTTGAAAAAAATGTTTGAACTCCATGCTTTTGGAAGTCCAAATTTAGTAGAAAGTCAAAATTTAGTAGGAAGTCCAAATTTAGTTCAGGCAGACACAAGATTACTGGAAAAGGGGGATGTGGGAAGGAATGTCCCTCTCTTAAGCTATTTTTTTTCTCCATAAATCCGATATCGTTCTGGTAGGTTCTTGTCATGAGCATTTTTCAGAGATTATTTAAAGAAATCTAAAAAGCAGTGCTTTAAAGGATAGATAATGATATCAAGTAAATTAATGAAAAATTTTTATGAGATGTAGAGTTGTTTGATAGTGTGACGGCATGTTGTGAGTTAAGGCTCTGTGCCCTCGGATTCCACGCAGGGCCTCCATGAAACTGTATTTATTTAATTCAGTACTAGACATCTATGATTTACCTTTATTTGTTTATTACTTGAAACTGAAACCTTCAACTGACAAAGGTATTTTCAGTTTTTACTTTGGACATTATATCAATGCTAAAGATAACACAAAAGTGTGTGTACTATTTGATGACATCCACTGTTTTCAGATCTCTTCATTTTCTTCTCCTCTTTTTGGAATTATTCATAGAGAATTGATTAATAATCTATATTGAGTACCAGTAAATATTAAAATTTAGCACTTAGAAATTCCCTGTTAGTTGGTACACTTAATGAGACAAAGTTGCTGTGGACTTCATCTCCCCTTTTTTAATTTAAAAAAAAAAGATATGGAATACTTAACATGTGGCTTGTGGATTTGTTTGATATAAATGGATTTATTATCAATATATCACTTTTGTTTTTAATAAAATATAATAGGAAGTAATAAAAGGTTGGCATACCTCATGTAGATGGATTCATTTATATTTCTTCAATTTTCTTTTCTAGCTTCATTTACAAATGGAGGTTTCACTGATATAACACCTGCTGAGGAGAAACCTGTGATTACAGAGACAGTCATTGCAGACCAGGGGTCAGAGGTCGTTGATGACATCAGACTGTAGGGGGCGGAGGACATTGTTAACAATGGTTAAAAATTATCACAAACTTAAATATCATCATAGTCTTAGAGCAAATTAATTAAAAGAAGACAATAATTATTTGGGTTTTTTCTTCAAAATACATGAGTATACATCTTAGGGGAAAAGTCAAGCAGCACACCATCTTGTTTTCTTCTATGTATTTATGTGATGGAAGATTTTACACAATTCTTGACATACAATTTTTATTCTTAGTCTATTGATACATTCTAAATGACATGATGAGCATTAACCATGTTAACATATATGTATAATACTTTAAAATCATTGTAGTGTATAATTAATTTTTGTTTTGAATGTTTTCCTCTAAACCCTACATGAAATTGAAGATATCACTACCACCTTTTAGTAGTCGGGTAAATTGTATTTTTAATTTATTGAAACCAAAGAGATTATTTTCTTTTCAAGAAAGCAAGAATTTTCAAACAAAATTTGCTATGTGTTGATCTGTTGAAATTTTACGTGATCTAGATTGATTGTAAGTAATCGTGGCAAAATCCTTAAAAAACAACTGTTTTTTGATGCATTGTCATTCAAATCATTTCTATACATTAAGACTGAATTGAAACTGTACAATGATTAAAAGCTTATTTGATTTAAAAATTTGTATTTTGGTTTGTACACATCATATTTTCCACATAATCATATCATTCACTGTAATGTGTAAATAATTCTTTTATGGTTTAATCGTATTTTATTAGCATATAATTTTCATTCAGTTTATTTATTTTCATTTAAAAAAAAGAGGAAAAGAAAAAGATGTTTGCTTTTTTTCTTAGATTTAATTTTTTTCAGTCCGAGAAAATATCCACATTCCAAACTTCTTTAAAACTACTACTTGAAGCATGCATAATACATGTTATTTTTGTAGCAAATAAGTTTTAAAAATTTTGATTTAAAATTTTGCAGGTTGTGACTTGTTTTACCATACAATTGTTTGTGTGTAGATTATATATTGCTTTTCTTAGCCTTTTCATTATAATTTTGTTGTAAAGATGTATTTGTAAAATTACTTCATTTGGCAGATTGAAACTGCTGTTTGGTATGAATATTGATATATTATTAAATGTATTTTTTGTTTGGAAAATAGAATATATTTTCACATTTGTTTTCACTTCTTTCTTATAATTTGAAAAGGCATTTTGTGAATTAGAATCACAAACTCCCCCAGATATAACAATGTACTATGGCTACCAGAAAATTTGGTTTAGAAAGTTACCAAAGCACAGTTTTTAAAAATAATTTGTTTCTTTAGTACTTGTATCAATGGGAAGTCGTGTATTCCTGAGTGATATTTTGAGCTCATTTGTGCTTTTATGATTAGTGTCCATTGTCTGTCTGTTCTGTGTAATCTGTTAACTTGTCTCATTTTCAAATTCTTCTCTAGAACCTATTGGCCAATTTCTACCAAACTTGCCACAATTGACAAAGCATCCTTGGATGCAGGAGATTAATTTTTCAAAGGAAGATCCATCCTTTTTCAAGGGGAGAGAATTAGGAAATATTGAAAATAAGCTGGGGGTCATTTAAAAATATCAATGAAAGGTAAAAATGAAGAAAAGGCAAAACTTGTGTAAAAGCTCTCTTGTATAATGTAGATATGAATTTGTCTTTTAGGGGGCTGACATTAAATATAAGAATATATAAGAGAAATCTTGTTATAATAAGAATAGCAAAGCTTACAATGCATACATTTACTAGGCATATTGATATGCAAGTATCCTTGAAGATTTAAATGACCTAAAGTGCTAGGAAGGGGCCACAATTTACACATCTTTACAGTGTTTTCCATCCACTCCCCCATGGGGAGCAAAGATGACCTTGTGAAGATGCAATTGATGACCAATTTTTACACAATATTTTGAATTTCTTCTTGTTGAGAATAACACCAGACCCATAACTGGTTATACTAATGTTCTCATGTAGTGTAATATTATGACAGATCCCAGGGGCTAGGATGGTACCAAAATTGAGGATATAGTTTATATAAATTATGTCCCAGAAAATTGTTTTGTCAAGAGCAGCACAATTAAAAAATATTGGCATCTCCGTGGGGTGTAGGACTAGGTATATATATCTTGATCCCATGGGTTAGGGCGAGCATCCCATGTCATAAATATTCATTAGGTCTCAATCTCGATTCAGACTCTAACAAGGAAAATGTTATGATAGATTCATATCAAGGTAGACTGTTAGTAAAATCAAATACTTCTCTGTACCAGTTGATAATTTTTATTCAAAACTTTCCAAAAAAAAAAAAGAAAATGCAAACAAATATTATTTCTTAACAGGTCATGCATGCATGAAGATGTAGTTGATGAACACAGACTTGCACACATATATAATAAAAATAACTGATTCAGGAAGGCAAAATACAGAGTAATGTAGATTTTGTATGAAAAAAAAAATGAGCAAAAATTTATACATAGCTTGTCTTATTGATTAAATGAGCACTTTACTCTCTACCAGACTGCTAAACCTCTTTTGGATACATACAACAGAAATTCAATTGACGCCATTTTAACATGGGTAAATGTACAAACAATCGTGAAAATCAACAATCATGCAAATTATTTCTGAAATGAAGTAAACAGTGATCATTCAAATACATGTATCTCCCTTTGTCTACACCACACTGTCACCAGTAACATACAGGAATATCTTGGATACGGCGGTTCCTGTGTAGCGTGACCTGAGATCAGTGATCTGCATGGTCAGTTCTAGCTCCACGTCCTGTGGGCCAGGGATTCGATAGTTCAAGGATACCACGGCTTGGGCAGAATTTTTAATTTTGAGGTCAAAGTATCCTCTGTTTACAGCCATGACCCCCGATTTGAGAGGTCGTGCATCGATGACCTTGAGATTCCAAGCAAACTGCTTTTGAGAAGTTTGGGGTCCTGACATGGCAAATAAATCTGTTGGTATCTTGATGTTTGATGGGAATGACAGAAAGTTGTAGGACAGAGAGATAGGAGCAGTCAAACACTGAACGTCTCCTCTTTGGCAGGTAAAGGACGTACGCTTACATCTTACACTGAAAAAAAAAGTTAATGACATAATATACGGTTAATGCTTCCTACTTTTATGATTTTTCCTTATAATTTCTGCCTGGGAAATGTACCGATTTTATACAAAGGGATCCAGAGTGAATAATACAGTAAAGCACATTTATAATAAACATGCTTATAATGAATTCACGCTCCATCAAATTGATGCTTATCCCCTGTAGTTTTTAAAACATATTATTAACTTATAGCAAATTAATATGTCTTTAGTCAAATTTTTCATCCCTTGCACTTCACTATGAGCGTTTTTTTATTGTACCATAATATGAGGAAATATATCATCAAGTCAAGGTCGATTTGCTTTTAGCAATAAAAGTCTCAGATGCTGAAAAGAAATAAAAGAGGCTAATTGATTTATTCTGACAAGGCTTTACCTGTTTCTGCGAGGTCCTACAGGGGTCCTGACAAAGCCAGGGGGACAGGTCACCTGGGGACATTTATAACTGCCCCGGGTGTTGAAGCACATTGACTCGGGGGTCGTACAGCGATACGTCCCCTCAGCACACTCATCGATATCTAGAGAATATTACATGTACATCCATAGAATGGTACTTTATTACATAAGATGACCAAAAAATATACTTTTATTTTCATGTACAATTGTATATTACATAAATGCAGCAAATTAACAGAGCATTTTTTAAATTTGTTGTGACTGACTGTGGCAGGTCAAAATTCTTATAGGATTAAGGTGAATATATTGTTTGTTTAGAGGAGCTATATGATTACATTAATCAAATACAAGTCAATAAACTTTATATATGTATATAAACATATTGCATTGGAGATCATTTTCTCAACCAACTCACTAACAAAGAGAAATACAAACAGTAGATAGTACACCTTTAATTGTCACACAAATATCAAGAATATACTGTATCACAATTACATACTAATATTTAGAGTACCAGGAAATTATTACCTGCTACAGGCCTGATTAATACATTTTTTCTAAATGAGAATTTCAGTTAGTTAAAATTATAAATTTTAATCTAATCATTGTATTTTTATCACATTTTCCTACACCACTTCTGTGATGTGCCAATGGTTTTTGCATGAAAGTGATAAGTAAAATAATGTAAATTCATACATAAAAACAGTGCAAAACATTGATAGTGATGTATAAACATGTGATAAAAAAATCTACCATGATTTGTAGTTGGATTATGATTTTTATCCAACTCTTATGTTTTTATCCCCTTACCAAGGCTCGGAGATAAAACACAGTTTGTTGGATAAAAATCATATCCAACCACAAATCATGGGAGATCCTATATGTATGAATCTTACTAACTGACCTTGACATGACCTTCCTCCTCCTAGAGTCCTCCAACCATCGGGACACGTACACATGTAGGACCCTGGTGTGTTAATACAGGCCCCTCCACAGACCCGACCCCTCAGGGAGTACGACTGGCATTCATCTATGTCTGTAATGTATACTTAACAAGTTGTGATACATACTTCAAGATGATGCACAATAATATACTCAATATAACAAGGAAGAATAGAAATTGTAAACCTTAATACTAGGACCAAATAATTACAGTTATATACTTGACAACAGGTGAGGACCAGTGTAGATTATTTACCTGAGCAGGTGCGTTTGTCTGGGTTGAGTTTGTAGCCTGACCTACATGTACACTCAAAGGATCCCACAATATTAACACAGTTTTGTTCACATACGTTTCTGCTTTCACATTCATCAATATCTGCAAAAAAAAGGATGCAATGTTATGTAATGCACTTCTTATATACATAAGAATCTGTTGTTCACAAATAGTATCATTAGACTTAACCTTGTCTTACATGAACATGATATACCTTCATAAGTCCTGCCGCTAAGGACTATATCTGTGTTACATCTGTATAGTACATGGGCATGACTTACCTTCACAGTCCTGCCCCTGAGCACTGTACCTGTGTTACACCTGTACACATGGGCATGACTTACCTTCACACGTCCTGCCCCTGAGCACTGTACCCGAGTTACAGTTACACCTGTAACTACCAGGTGTGTTCTCACAAACTCCATTGTACGGACAGATGTTGCCATATGCACACTCATCAATATCTAAAATGTAAAGCATCATTTTCAATTTTAAATCCAAAGAAAGTACTTTAAAAAAAACTGAAAAATTTCTCTGAAATATGCTGTGCAAAATACAGCTAAAAGAAAAGGAAGCTAATTTCATCAATATGTTTTTCTCCTGGTTTTGATGGAACTAAGGCTGAGGTGGCTTACAAATGAACACGGCACTTGTTTAGTTGTGTCTCTCCTCCAAGCCGAGGCTGATACCTATATAAAGCTGAGTGGCATCTAACAATGCAAATTAAGTGCCTTGTCTAAGAACATAAAACACAGGTTAAAATAACCTGTTCTGATACAAATTGCCAACCTTTCCATCGCTAGACATATTCTATTGATCACAGAGCAACTAACTCCTCTAAAAATATAATGATGGAAAAACTGCTGACCTTCACAGCGACCTTGAGAATCCCGTCTGTACCCCTCCCCACAGGTACAGCCATAACTTCCTGCCGTGTTGACACATTCCTGGTCACTTTGACAGTTGTGAACTCCCCTCGCACATTCATCAATGTCTAAAACACACATATTTTCAAAACACAATTACATTTTCAAAGTTTAACATTTTATTAAAGAATCCATGAATTAATGTGCATAATCAGCCTTGATTAACAGCAAAGATGAATGTGACCTGAACCATGTTACCATGGAGATGACCTAGTTACCTATACAGGCCTTAGTGATAGGATCGACCTGATGACCTTGAGGACAGGAAGTACTTGGTATACAGCGGTAGGATCCGTAGGTGTTGACACAGCGAGCTGAGGCCGGGCAGATCCCGGGCTGCTGACACTCGTTAATGTCTGTACACAGAAAAAAAGCTATATAAAGAACAACTATAAAGAACAACTCGGCAAGTATATGTCCAGTGAGTAATTATCTACAGTGTGCAATAATCTACACAGAAGAAAATGAAGCTAAGAAGTATCTTAGGAAGCAAATGAAATGTCCAGTGAATAATTATCTACAGTTTGCTTTTCTTCTTTTGCCCTATTCAGTTTCATATTATGTTGAATTTAAATCAGAGCTTATTCACTTTCAAATCTGATCATTCATTAAGACAAACAGAAATAACTGTAAATGACAAGCCCCTCATTCAGTAGAATACCCTGGGGTTGGACTACATACCAACACACATTCCATTAGAGTCTGGTTCCCTGCCCCGCGGACATTGTATCGGCTCACATTGGCCTGTAGATGTGGAGAATCGGTGACCTCTTTGACAAGTTGGCTTTTGACATCTAAATGTACCATCCATGTTGAAACAGTCATAACCAGAGGGACAATTATGTGTTCCCAGCAAGCATTCATCTATGTCTAAAATTACATCATATGTTTACAATACAGTCAAATCTCGTTATCTCAAACTCAATGGGACCAAGGAAAAACTTCGAGATATCCGATGATTTGAGATATCGAGGTTAAAATACTTAAAGAATAAGTGGTTGGGACTTCCAAATCACTTCGACATATCCATGGTATTTGAGATATTTGTGTTCGAGATACGGAAGTTCAACAGTATATTTAGCTTGACAACTTTTGAAACTTAGGAAAATACCTGGTAAACTTTTGTGTGTTGTTACCATGTTCTAATGTAAAGGGGACAAAATCAAAAGGGTTTTCAATTAGAAAGTTAAAAAAGTCTTTGAATTATAGAGAACAAAATCCCTCTGCTTACCTTTACAGGTTTGAGTCTCTTCCATCATAGAGTAGCCCGTCCCACAGCCCAGGATCCTCCTACAGGTGAACGAGCCTACAGTGTTCTCACACCTCTGTGAGGATAAACAGGTGTCCCTCTTAGTGGCACATTCGTCAATGTCTGTCAGAAAATGACAAAGTGAAATCAACTTCATAAAATGTATTCAAAATGTCTCATTATGATTTAACTATGTGTAAACAGTGCAACTTTGCACAAAAAAATAAATATAACCGGTGTACGCTGGTTATGTAAATTCTTTCTGTAATGAATGCAACCATTCATCTCCATATAAATAAACAAAACAATAAATTGAATGAAATATTATTTAACTATAACTAAATGACACAAAAAAGCTAACAGACAAAACAGACAGAAATGAATGCCATACCATAATACATCCCATCTTAAGACGGGCGTATGAAAACCAATGATTTAAATATTCTGGACTATCTTCTTTACCTGCACATGACCCAGCTACTCTGTCATAAAAGTACCCAGTGGTACACCTTGGGACAGACCGACAGGCCTTGGAGACAGGGTCCACTTCCTGGCCCCGGGGGCAGGGCCGGCATCTATAAGTTCCCTCCTGATTGTAACATCCTTGTCCCTGTGGACAATTTGCTGTCCCAGAGGTGCATTCATTAATATCTGGATATTCCAAAAAGAAATAACATTGTTCATGTAATACACATGCTGAGTCATCTATACCTGTGTATTCATGTAAAAAAACACATCACTTATAATTACCTGTACTGGGTACTTTTCACTTTGAATTCATAAAAGATATTCAAACAAATGTAAAATTATCATTTCAAAAAGATATTGAAATCTTACACAATCCCAAAGTATTAACTGACCTTGACAGTTGATTCCGTCTGCCAGTAGTGTGTAACCTTGGTTACAGGCACAGCTGACCCCATTTTCATCCTCTACACAACGCTGCTGGCAGGGATTATACCTCTCACAGCCGATGGCTAAAACAATAAAAGTGCTATCAATATGTTCTCACCAGATTAGTGACACTCTTTGGTCTGTGATTAGCGGGGAATAATGTAAAGAAACATGAATTAGTACAAATGTTCTAACAATAAAATCATTGTATCAGAGTACTTTAACCTGACTGTGGACAAGAACATTTCTATTACATTTTGACTAGAAAGTGATATGATTATATTTATATCACTTAAAACTTTATAAAAGTGACGTTTTCACACCTGAGCAAGAGATATCATTAATGACAGATGATACAACAAACTTTTATCAAAAATCTTGAAAATAACAACTTAAGTCATGTTTATATAGGTAGAATGAATAAGTTTAACCGCATAGATTTTAATTTTTTCATTCAAAGTTTCACAATAGCTGAATAGTGGGATTTAAGGCGATAAAAATTTGTATAGATTAATAAGGATAGTTACAGAAAGGTGGACTTTTAGCATTATAGAAATTTTACAATTTCATAATATTTTAGAAATTTATTAATGGTATTCTAATCATTTACAACCAAAATAGGTCCAAAAATATATACCAATCCAAGCATCCATTTTTTTGTTTGTATCATGTCCGGATTAAAAACCAATTTACAGAGTCTAATCTAACACCATGTATTGGTAAGGCTTACTAATACCAGGGTATGTCATCTTGTTGTTTTTCAGTGACACTGATAAGTCCAAACTATCTGTAAAATTGTCCTGAAATTCCACACTATCTGCACAAATGTCCTAATTTGTCACATATTAGTAAAAAATCTAAATATTTCCAATCTTACGTTCATTCTCAATACAGGTACTGCCATCTGAGTGTAGCGTGTATCCAGAGTTACATTCACAGCGGTAACTACCGATCGTGTTTACGCAGATCTGTCCACAAATATGGCCGCTGTGGAGTGCACACTCGTCAATATCATTTACAGCTGTTGTACCTAACATTTGAAAATAATTAACAAGTAAAAATTGTACTCAATATTATAAGTTAGGCCTTGATAGAATATTTAATGCAACTGAAGAAAACATGTAGAAAGGCTCAAAGCTATATGAATGTGGGGGCAATACATGAAATCTTTAAATTTCAATTTAACTAAATTACCCTATCACATAAAGATTCTTTCCATGTTTATATTACACTGAAATCTGTAGAATTATGATAAAAAGATACTTTACAAACTCTTTTATTATTTATATGTGAGAAATATTTGCAAGTTTCACAATAAATCCTAAACAGAAGTCATATTAAAATAACAACTGGTTTACAGTTACACTGTGTGGAAGAGATGAGCCTTACTGTTAAGTGCAGATGACCCCAGGCAGCACTCCTTGAACATGGCATCACATGGTCCCCCAAAGCTCTCCTTCTGAAGCAGTGAGCAGTCTCCACTCATGGACCGCGAGATCAGTCCCAACTGACAGCAGTGACAACATTCCTAATAAAAAACAACAACAGATTAGCCCTAACTGACAGCAGTGACAACATTCCTAACAAAGAGTGACAACAGATTAGCTGTAACTGAGAGAAGTGACAACATTCCTAATAAAATACAAAAACAGATTAGCCCTGACAGCAGTGACAACATTCCTAATAAAGAGTGACAACAGATTAGTCCTAACTGACAGCAGTGACAACATTCCTAATAAAAAAACAACAGATAAGCCCTAACTGACAGCAGTGACAACATTCCTAATAGAGAGTGACTAAAGTCCTTACAAAGAGTGACAACATTCCTAATGAAAAACAACAACAGATTAGCCCTAACTGACAGCAGTGACAACATTGATAATAAAGAGTGACAGCAGATTAGCCCTAACTGACAGCAGTGACAACATTCCTAATAAAGAGTGACAACAGATTAGCCCTAACCGATAGCAGTGACAACATTCCTAACAAAAAGTGACAACAGATTAGTCCTAACTGACAGCAGTGACAACATTTCTAACAAAAAGTGACGACAGATTAGTCCTAACTGACAGTATACATGTATGCAGTGACAACATAAGGAATGTTGTTACACTTTAACCCGTACATCTCGGCAAATATTATAATGTAAACAACTCCTTTAAAAACAAATAATATTAGTTGATGGATGTTATCATACAATTTAGTCATAGAAATACACCAATCAAAGAACACTGGTACCATTATTTTCCCCTAAATTAAGCAAATAAGTTATAAACAACTGACTTCACCAGAAAAGTACCAAGTACGGCTATCACACATACTAACACTGTAACTTACTTTGTACTGCTCCGACCCAAACATGTCATCTCTGACAGCACACCTGCCGTAACTCGCGGCGTCTGACTTCCCATTCTGACATTGGTCTCGCTGCTTCTGCTTCATACAACAGACCTTAAGGATGGACATACAGCTTGGCTGGTCCCCCGCCCTCACCCCTGGGACAGACCGAGAGTACCCCTCACAGGTGGAGGAATCTGTGGCATATTTCGTCCCCTCCAGACAGCAAGTCTCTAGTAGTACTTTGTCTATAGCAGCTGTAAAAGAGGTAGCAGCTCTAGAGGTACTGTGAGCTTGCTCACAAAATTACTCCTCAGGCTGCAATATTTTTAAAGTCCCATATATAATTTTCCAAATATGACCTAGAACTTGCCAAAATGACCTTGATAAAAAAGATCACATATCCTCTCATAAGTAGCCTTTGAGTGAAGTATGGACATCTAATGTATCTCCATTAGAAAATTATGGAACTGAATTTTCTGCAAGTGACTTTGAACTTGGCAACTGACCTTAGTCAAGATTATAGCATAATTTCAGCTGAATTTGAAGTTTCAACTTCCAATACTTTTCTATGAGAGAGTAATGAACTTGACACAAACTGAACTTGAGTCAAGGTCATGACATCTTCAGGACATAAGTAATATTTATGTGAAATATAAACTCCAATGGTTTTTCCATTAGAGAGTTATAGACAGGACACAAATTTTACACTTTATCTGTCATTGACCTTGAACTTGCCAAAATGACCTTGATTCAATTCAAGGCTGACCCACAAGTCATATGCAATTCTCCCTCTGTCAACTATCAACTTCCAATTAGTCTCCATTTGCCAGTTATAGACTGGACAAGAAAAATACTTTTTCTGCCAATGACCTCAAATTTGCTAGATTGACCTTGGGTGGTAGTATATGCCTTCAGGTCAAATGCAGTATTTGTGATAAGTATGAGCCTCTAATGTTCTCCATTAGAAGATATGGTCAGAACAGGAATCAAACATATTCCTAAAAGTGGCCTTGTACTTGATACAATGCATTTGACCATGGGTCAAGTTCACAATACACCTTTACGTCATAGTAACCTTTGTATGAGGTATGAACTTCCAATATTTCTCCATAAAGAAGTAGTAGACCGGACAATAATTTAATACTTTTACTGCCAGTGACCTTGAACTTGCCAGAATGACCTTGGTCAAGATCATGACACACCCTTAGGTCATAAACAATCTTTGTACTAATAATATTACTACAAAGATTATTTATGACCTAAGGTTGTATCTAAATAATGAGCTTCCAAGGATTATCCTTTACAATGCCAGGACAAAATGGCATGGAGAAATGGACAGAATGACAGACAGACCAATGGATGATTCCTATATACCTCCCTGCAAAACTTCCTTTGTGGGGTGGGAGGGGTATAATCAAAGTTATTTATTGGGTTCCCTAATTAAAATTACAAAGCTCGACAGAGCTAGGTACTGGCCTACAAACAGGATATTAAGGGCATGAAAACAACTAAGAATTCCACTTGACCTATTTACAGTATATATATGTACTTACTTTCTGCGCAATTATTTTTCAACAAAAAAAAAATATCACAGAGCAAATGAACTTGAACAGCTATTAATGGTTGAATGATACAATATGAACAAAATAGAATTGTTTAAATGTTTAATTCTAAAGAGAATTTTATTATTATTATTATTATTTTTTGAATTTTAAAAATCTTGGTCAAAAGATGTAACCAGTATTTAATATGTATTATTGTAATCAAACAGACGATCCAATTGAAAGCTAAATAAAGCCAGCATACAGTACTGCATTTACTTCAAAATGTCATTGTAGCAAATAAACATTTAAACACATACTTTAAAAGATAAGGAGACTTACCTTGTGAGAGAGAGAACAATCCAATAATAATAAATCCTATCAACATCAGGCTACAATGAGATAAACTTTCTAACATTTTCCTTGAAATAAAACAATTACCCTGATCACCGAGTGTTAATGTGTGCGACAGCGGACGTTAAATATAACATCAATCCCTTTGTTAATTAATATAGTTATACAACAACAAAAAATTCCAGATTACATTGTAGTGATAGCACGAGCACTTCCAGCCACTGACTGATGCTTCAGATGGAGACAGTGATGGTTCTTAAGGCCACAGGGGTGAAGTGACCGAATTTTTCTTACTCTAATATCCTCATAACAAACTTTTTCTCAAAATTTTTATTCCACACAATTAAAAAATCAGGGGGTAAATCCCATAATTGGGTAAGCTGACCTAGGAATGAAATACCTTTGAATACAATGATGACCTTCTTTATAATACACAGACAAGGACTTAGTGTTTAACCCTGCAGGAGCCCAGACAACACTTAAAAGTGAAGAACCACTTCAAATTCTTATTAAAGTTTGTTAGCCGTAGTTTCCTTTTAAGGTCACAGCATGCACTTAGTCAAATATAATCTCCTTAGAATTGTGTACTGGGTAACAGTGAAAGTGTAATAACACTACACAGTGTTACTGCTAAAAATGTCTGAAGTGTGTGGTCAACATTATAAAACCAAATTCCTTTAGTTAAATTACCACCTGTAAACAAATGCTAAAAACAAGTATTCTGAATTTGGGATTTAAAAAATGATAAAAAGGAGGAGAGGCGAAAGTGGCATGATTTGTATGTCTGTAATTTGCTAAAGAATAAAAATTGCTGTTTTCCTGTTACAGCCATTTATACCTCATAGATCAGATCTCATGGGATAAAGAGAAAATAAACTGCAGTTCAGTGACCTTGACATTTCTAGATCCAACAGGATATCTATAAGAAGAGCACTTCTCAAAGAAATAACAGGTTTTATACAAAACAAAAATATGGTAAAAATTACTGGTGATAATGACCTATAGATATTTGTCAAAATTATATCATTCTTTTGATTATAAATGTTAATGAAAGCTTTGATTATCAACATAATCATGTAATACTTTATATCTAGGTGTGTGCGATAAATGTACGACTCTTGAAAAAGTCATATTTGACATACATCAACCACAATTTTATTTAACCACCACGTTGAAAAGAAAATTGCAAATTTACAAACCCTTTCTTTACAATTATAGTCTATTCCTAATACTTTCAGTTTCTAACACTTCAAAGAATCTTGAATCATATTTAAGGATGCATGCTATGAAAATTGCTGCTTGAAACAATGTCAATTTCAAGCTTCATATTAAGACTTATTCAATTATTAAAAAATTCAATTATTAAAGAGTTATTGTTCCTTGCTGAGGAGTGGATATCCTTAAAATCTATTGTATATATAATGTAAACTTTTGTTCCTGATCATTCTGTGTTTCATAAGTAGTCTAACATCAGAACAAACATTTCTGAGTTTAACATTGTGATTTGTTAACAATAATTAATTCTAGAGTCACCTATAAACAAGTTCCTCTGGAGCAATACACTTACTGAAGACAAGTTTATGTATATAAATAACATTAATAAATACTCCAAGTACATTATACAATTAATAACTGCACAAGGGATGTGAACATGTGACATTGTCATTAGATGATCTTCATGAATATCATATTTATTAAATTAGATAAGAAGGTCTTAAAATTAATCGACATAAAAAACTACAATACATTTACATATATAAAAAGAATTAATATGAATTGAACATATATTGATCCATAAATGTCCATCACAAAGTCCTTCAATTAAGTCCCATTTTTCAGCACAAGTATATCCACACATTTCCCCGATTGTTTTGTATTTAATTTTTTAAAATATAAAGCTTTGTAGTTACTGAACAGTCTTTACTACCACACTCACAGTTTAAAATGTTAGGAGACTGAAGAGATAGAAGTAGTGCTTCAATGACAGAGTAGGAAGCACTTCGTCAAAATCCAAATAACAGTCAGGGGCATGATGGAATCAAGTTATTTTTGAAAATAACTTGTTTAGGCTACTTCACTGATTTGATTGTTTTTTGTGCAAAGCTGTAGATTTTTGTGCAAGAGTTCTAATGTGACGTGGGTTAGGGATGAAATTACTGAAATAAGTTATGATTTGTTGAATTTCAGTGTGCTAAATCTTAAAGATAGATTACTTTTACTGTCATGAACCTTTTCCAACTACTATATAACCCAAGTACAGCAGGAATAGAGCTTTCCAGATACCAGTAGGTTTACAATAATGAATAGTGAAGTATCAATAATAGGAATAAATTACTGAAGAAAAGCATAATCAGGGAAAGATAACCCAAAATAATGACATTTAATAACAGAAACAAATTATTTCAAAAATAACTTGTTTCCATGATGCCCTTGACTGAATAAGATGACTTTGGTTTAAGTTGGTTATATCTTTCTTTCATATTACTTTAATTTTACAATTTCACCGTAGTATAAAGTTATTTCAAATCTTAGATTTTACTTTCATCTTTTGACAAAAGAGACACACATAACATACTGTAGTAATCTTCTACACCAGTAAACCTCAGACATTCTACTTCTGACAAAGTCACACATATTCTGAGGTATTTTTAGTTCACCTCAGTCATTTTATTTCTGACAAAGTCACACAAATTCTGAGGTAGAGTCAATTCACATAAACACACTCTTTGACTGTTTATACAACTGTTACATTGCTGTCAGACATCAACTCTTCTTCTTTTCTGTACACTACTGATTTCATCTGTAAACAAACAAGATCAGAACTGAAGCTGCATGTATGTATGAGTGCAGGAGTCTATATCGATTTTCAAGATTTTTTCCCATATGAAGCAACTCCTCCAAATGAGAAATAGTTTAATGCTGTTTGTAATGTGCTAATTCACTGGATAGAAAAATTAGAATAACCTGTGTTGCTTACATCACAATTTGACTTCCATCAACAAGAGGCCTATGGGTACAATGCTCACCCAAATAACTCTAGCCTAGCTGTTCCTCCTAAGATTTTTAAAACATTGTTACATTTCCATGAAAACTGTGACTACATTTCCTGGTCTAAAAGGTCTGTGAATCCACACAGTATGGGGATGCTTCAGTAACATAGCTCTGTAGTTAAGGAGAAGAAAATTCTTGCCCTATATACATGCATTATGTTTAATTTGATTTTGATTTAAGTCAACTCTAACACAGGATCCATAACTTGAAAAACAAAATCCCCACATTTTAGGAATGTTTGAAAATTAATGATTCTATTATACTTTAGAATCTACATTATCTCAAACAGCTTTCACAAAAGTTTCATTTTTTCTGGTCTAGTGGTTCTTAATAAGAAGATTTTTAAGACTTTTTCCCTATATATTTCAATGTAAAACTGATCCCCTATTGTGGCCCAACAATACCCCCAGGGGCCATGATTTTAACAATTTAGAATCTACACAACCTAAAGAATTTTTTCTGGTCCAATGGTTCTTGAGAAGATTTTTCAAGATATATTTTAAAGTAAACTTTTATCCACTATTGTGAACCAACCTATCCCAGTGGGCCATGAATTGTACAATTTAGAATCTACACTATGTCAAGAAGCTCTCACTTAATAAGTTTCATCTCTGGCCCTGTGGTTCTTTTTTAATGACCTCACCCAATTTTTGCCTTTTCTTGATTATCTGCCCTTTGAAAGGGGCTTGGCCCTTCATTTGAATAATTTAGGATTCCCTTAACCCAAGGGCACTTTGGTTAAAATTGGCCCAGTGGCGCTTGAGAAGTCAAAAATGTAAAAAGTTTACAATAAATTAGTCATACAGATTTACAGAAGCTGGAAGGACAGATGAATGCCAGACAGTGGGTTATCAGAAAAGCTCCCTTGAGCTTTCAACTCAGGTGAGCTAAAAAAAATATCAACTGGCTTGACATTACATTTAAATTTTGCACATTTTGAAGGCATTTTTGGAAGGAATTTTTTTTTTAACTTAATGACAGAAAAAATTAAAATATAAGGAATTCATTTAATAGCTAACCAAGTTTTTATTCTCTGGATTTGAACATGTTACACTTTTTTAAATAAACACTTCACAGTTTATAAAGCAAAACAAACCAAACACCTGTTCATTAGATGAAGCAGTTTTTGCCGTTACTTGACTGTATATGTAAGAAACTGCTGTAAAAATTGAGCGATATATTCCATTTTTATTCATTGATTTGAATTATCTTATTAGTGAAAGAGAGGATATTCCTTTCTGACCCTATTAGTGGTATTCTAATACTTTATTTTATTCCCTGTTAGAATATAATTATATAGGATATTCAATGTTTTGTAGTTGGTTATGGAATTTGTTTCAAGAGTAGGAGTTTTTTTCTTCTAAAAATTCATGAGTGTGAAGCATTTTGTCCTCTTTTTTTAACAACAGTTTGTGATGTCAGAGACAAAAGAAAGTCTTTTATTTGTTTCCTCCGTAATTATATACATTTTGTTATTTTTTCTTAATACATGTACAATATATATATACAATTTAAGATCTGTACAGCCTAGCAAAATTATTTTTTAATCACTTTTCTGGCACTTTTAAGGGAATTTTCCTGCATTTTTCAAACACTTTTGGACAATACAATCATGCATTTAAAAAAAAAAAATTGACACAATATACTGCTTGGTTTTTTTTTTTTTAAATTTCTTTAGCTCATTTAGCTTCTCATTTATGTTTTTCTTCCATATTTTCTAAGTCAACAAAACACTTATAAGAAGTAAATCAACACATTTTTTTCTTTCCCTTTTTTCAAATCTTTGCTTCTATAGCAGCTCAAGATCATGTACCATAGAAAAAATTCAAGTACTTGATAAACATGTAAATTTAAGTACTTTTCCATGACCTTTTGCTGTTTAAGCACTTTTCATGGTCTGTTTAAATCCAGAAATTGTTTTTATTTCAAGAGATTTTCAAAATTTTAATATTATGAGGCAGGAATATGCCTTTACCAAATATGGTTCTTTGACCCATTAACAGCATGTACTTTTCTGTTACACTCATTATAGATTTGATACCTGTGTAACTTGTGACCTGGCGTAACTGACCCGTTGCTTTGGTGACAGGGTAGTGATTGGTCATTGTGTTGGGTCGGTTTTGCCCTGAGGAGGATGATTTTGTAGGAGTTCTCCCCCTGGACTCTGAGGTATAGAGTGTCTTACTTCTGTTAAGGTGTTTTTTGCCTGCCCCCTCCGCTGCTGTGTGTTCACTGAATGGATCTATGCTCTCTATATCTAGTGAGTTGTTCCAAAGATCTGTGTCCTCTAAAAAAAATTACAGTAAATCACCACATCTGAGCAACATTACAAAATGAGGACCCAATACCTGACCTCTGAACTCTGATCTGACCTTATCAGACTGAGGCCAACAACCAAGGTCAGGTCACTGAAGGGTCAGTAAATGGTAATGCTCTTTTTTTTTATATATATTAAGAGGGGTTATAAACTGTTTGATTTTACTCAAAACAATTCTGAAAAATTTACATCTTGAATGTATTTATTTGTAATAGTTTTCTAACCATCTACATTCAAAATTTAAATTTGAATTACATCTGATTTCTAGTGTCAGTGAGTTTTTTTTCTAGATAACTGAGAAATAAAAATAGTTATCATGGATCATGATTTACTAAACATTGATGACTGCAAACAAAAAAAAAACTTAAGTTATATGTATGTACCAAAGTTTTCCTCTGGGAGGAGCTCTGGTTGATTTGGGGAGGGTTCTGAGCTGCTCTGTGGCCGTGACTTTGGAATGACCTTGGGACTGGAGGCATGGATTGGAGGACCAAGGCCATTAAAGGCTGGAGTGGAGGTCGCCACAGGAGGCCCTATAATAAGGGAAAAACAAATTTATCAAGAAACTCACACACACCCCTTTCCTTTCAAGAGAAAAGTTACAGAGAAGAAACAATTCAAGCTTTAAAAACATGTAACACAGTACAATATTACAGACTTGAAATGATAATATTCCAGAAACTGTAATCAGTAATGAATAAAATGATGACTACTATGAGATACAATTTAAAACTATCCCTAATCACTGATAATGATAAGAACAACCTGCAACTTCACTAGAATATTGTCTTCATCAGTGATTACCTATTATATTTATGGCTGTATTGTCCGTCTGTTTGACTGTTAGCCTCTGTTTGAACTCCTGCTGCTTTTGATGTTGTCGTTGTAATCTCTCTTGCTTGGCTTTGAGATCTTCCTTGTCCCCATCCTTACTGTAGAAATAAATCAAACAACTCCTAAATACCTTAACATATTGAATGAAAATTTCTGCAGAAACCCAATTTTGTTGCAATTTTGACAAAATGTAACAGAATAAAATCATTAAAATCGGTTATTGCAGATCACAAAATTTTACATAACTTTATTTTTCTTTCTGAGATTGTTGTTTGTATATAATCTTGATGAATGGAAATATATGTGAGAATGAAAATTAAGGGAGCAGATGGTCTTGTGTAATTACATGAAAGTAAGAGTTCTCATAAATAAAATGTTACATTACAGTCTGAATGAAATCACATAGATGGCAAAAGCATTTATTAAGAATGCCAACTTCTAAGTATAAAATTGCAAACAAATTTTGAGAAACAGAAAATTTACTCATCATAAAGAATGTACAAGTATATATTTTTAATGAGTCTACCTAAGGCCAACAATAAAAAATGATTTTTTTGATGTACTCCGACCGACCCATCAAAATTGCCCCTACTCAATCATTTTTTTTAATATTTGGATTTTTATTTTATTTTTTTTCCAGTTTCCAGGAAAATAGACATTGTTTCATTTTAAAAGTTTATAATTTATCTAAGAGGCTTTTTCAGTTGAATGTTTTAAAGCAATAAATATTAAATCTGTCTTGTCCTGTGTATTATGAAAGCATCAATAAATCTTAAGTCTGTGTTTTTAAATACAATAATCGATTTGTTAGATACTATCAAAAAAAAAAAAACCTAACACCCCCCCCCCCCCCCAAAAAAAAACTGCCTACCTACCCACCTTGAAAAATGTGGGTCAGAGAACATCAAACAAAAATATTTTTAATGATGGCCTAAATGACACTTTTTAGTCCATGTGCACTCAGTACTACTATTTTCATTATAAATTATAAGGAAATGTAAGGCAGGTACAATATAGCAGTACTTAGATCTGTACATGTCCCAAGGTAAGAATCTCTGTGGTGTACTCTCAAATGAATTGCAAAAGGATCAACTGAACACTGGGTAATTTTAGGATCAACTGACACATGACAGCAGAATTATATATTTTCGAAATTTACCATATGTTACAGGGCTTTCAAAAAGGGGTGACTGTCACAATCAATATTTAATCCTGATTATTGTTCTATTTATGTTTATGATTTTTACTTATTTTTCCTTTACGGGACCTCTTTATTTTGTTACCTTTAATGAATCTCAAATTTAGAAATTGCAGGCATTGGTCAGTTATGGCCTATTGTATTTGGAGTATTTAAATCGCTGCATTGCTGACCACGTAGCCAGGGTCCACGTTTTCATACTTTTTACATGCTTGACGCACAATCCAAGATGTGTAGATAGGTAGTTTTTACAACAGTAACCATTTCTCCATGAGGGGTAAGTTAAATTTTCTTATTATTTAGTATTTTGATATTGCATTAAGATTTGTTAACTTTGTAAGAAAACGGGTTAAGTAATGTTTTTGTTACTGTTTACGCATACAAGTTTTGCTGAGTAGAGTTACTCATGCGTGTAATGTTCTGGTTTTGTCCATGTACTAAGTTATGTACACACGCAGTGTATTTTGTTTTTTGCCGCTTATACAGTCGGTGTCGTGGGTTTAGTTGTTCAAACCACTTGTGTTAAGAAATTGTGTATTCTTAACGCTGTCTACATATATAACAGTGTTTGGTTAGATTTACTGTTTGTATGGTGTGCCATTTGTGCAATGATAGTCAATGGTGACTAGTTTTATTTAAGGTATACGTAACCTGTGACTTAAAAATGTTATTTAATTTAAAGGTTCCTGATATAATCCTGATAATATCTAGTCAAGTGTGTGTTGGCAATGATGTTCAACAGACTGGAGACCCACTGGAGCCAGTTGGTGGGAGTCCATCGTGAAACAGGGTGTGTCTGGACGTGGTTGTGAGCGAACACCAGGATGACGTGGATTGAAAGAGACTTTTAAGATACACATATTGTAAATTATAACTGTATAAATATGGTGTAAATATTGTTCATACTGATTGTATATATAGATAAAAAAATTGTAAATAGAAGAAAAAAAATTTTGTTGTGTCTGACTGAACAGAACACGATGGCTGTCGGCTGGGAGGCGATTTATCCCCATTTCAATGATCAGAATTCACTGCTTCAAATTTCATTACTGGCAAAATAAACTAAGGGAAATAATTCTAAAACAATCTCTTCAAATGGATTAATTTATCTCTTTGTTTCAAAATTTTTGAAAGCCCTGGATAAATGTTGATCATAAATTTAGTTAAACAGTCATGAATGTGCAATTAACCATTTATAATGTTTCTAGGATCCTGTAATATGACAGCTATAAATACCTGGCTGCAGTATTAACTGGTTCACTTTCTACTCTCTGGGTGGACTGGGTCCTCTTGTGTCTGAGATTCATTCCTGTCCCCACACCATGATTTAGGGGTAGTGACCCCCTCCTGACAAACTCCTGAGGGGGTGGATCCTCCTCCTTTTGAAGCACCAGCTCCGCTGAAACCCACTCTGACTTAATACCCACTTCTTGGTCCCGGGGGTTAACATTCTCCTTACTGGGTAAGCTCTGCCTCCCCGTCACACGAATATTCTCAATATTTGTCGATACTCTTGTTGTCTCTCGTGAAGTGATGTTTTTAGTTAAATTTTCATTTGGCGAGTTACTTGTGGTGGCTGTTATATTGTCTCTAGATCCAATCCCTGTGTCTCTGGAATCTGTTGTCTGATTGGTTGTTGATACCATATTAAGATTTCTAGCAAGGTTTTGATTGGTCTGATCAGAAGCTAGTTTGTGATTGGACAGTCTTCTGATATTAGTGGATTTCCTGGCTTGTTCTATTGCCACATCTTGGTCTGTCCTCCTCATTTCTTCTAGATCATACACTCTAGCTGTCTGCAAGTAAAGATCGAATCATACACTCTAGCTGTCTGCAAGTAAAGATCGAATTTAAAAAAGCATATAAGAATTATTTCTAATTGAAGAAAAGTAGTGACTGAGATTTTAAGTGCATGAGATGTCAAATCAGTGGTAGAACAGTGGTTTACTTTTCCTTATTCAAGTCTGAAATGTCATTTTAATATTGTTCAACATACAATGTAGGTAATCACAGACTATATGTAACTTGACAAAAATAATCTAGAAGATAGTCAGTCTTAATGTTCAAACTAGAAATATGTCCATAGGACATGAATGCCCCGCCAAGGGTATATTAGTAATGCAACATTTTAACACAAATTGAGAAAAGTGAGGTAAAGGTCAAAGGAAAGGTCAAGGTCAAAAAATATTGCTGCAGTTGAATAGCTCTCATCAGTATGTATCAGCATATGACGTTTGATTCAGAAACTAATTTAAGAAAAGTGAGGTCAAGATCAAAGGAAAGGTCAAGATCAAAAATGTTGATGTAGTTGAAAAGGTTACATCAGTATGTATTAGCATATGAAGTTTGATGAAAATATTATGAATGGTTTCTTTAAAACTGTGCTAAACACTAATTTAAGAAAAGTGAGGTCAAGGTCAAAGGAAAGGTCAAGGTCAAAAAATATTGATGCAGTTGAATAGCTCTCATCAGTATGTATCAGCATATGAAGTTTGACACTAATTTAAGAAAAGTGAGGTCAAGGTCAAAGGAAAGGTCAAGGTCAAAAAATGTTTATGCAGTTGAAAAGGTTACATCAGTATGTGTTAGCATATGAAGTTTGATGAAAATATTATGAATAGTTTCTTTAAAACTGAGCTAAACACTAATTTAAGAAAAGTGAGGTCAAGGTCAAAGGAAAGGTCAAGGTCAAAAAATATTGATGCAGTTGAATAGCTCTCATCAGTATGTATCAGCATATGAAGTTTGACACTAATTTAAGAAAAGTGAGGTCAAGGTCAAAGGAAAGGTCAAGGTCAAAAAATGTTGATGCAGTTGAATAGCTCTCATCAGTATGTATCAGCATATGAAGTTTGATAACACTATCTTGAATGGTATCTTTAAAACTGAGCTAAAAACTTATTTAAGAAAAGTGAGGTCAAGGTCAAAGGAAAGGTAAAGGTAAAAAATATTGATGCAGTTGAATAGCTCTCATCAGTATGTATCAGCATATGAAGTTTGTTAAAAATATCTTGAATGGTTTCATTAAAACAGAGCTAAACATTAATTTAAGAAAAGTGAGGTCAAGGTCAAAATAAAGGTCAAGGTCAAAAAAATGTTGATGCAATTGAATAGCTTACATCAGTATGTATCAACATATGAAGTTTGATTACACTATCTTGAATGGTATCTTTAAAACTGAGCTAAACACTAATTTAAGAAAAGTGAGGTCAAGGTCAAAGGAAAGGTCAAGGTCAAAAAATGTTGATGCAGTTGCATAGCCCTCATCAATATCTATCAGCATATGAAGTTTGATAAAAATATCTTGGATAGTTTCTTTGAAACTGAGCTTTGAACAGAGCTAAACGCAAAGTGTGACGGAAGGACAGACGGAAGGACAGAAGGACGGAAGGACGGAAGGACGGAAGACGGACATGACAAACACTATATGCCCCGGCCATATTCATGGCGGGGCATAATAAATGTTCTGGTAAAGTGCACCTGTAGATGCTAATTTTTTGCAAGTTTGGTATAAGTAGGTTTTATAGTTACTTGGGGATGGACCTGGTCCAGAAACTTGTACTATTCAATCATCTAGTAAATGTCAGTCAGATGCCGCATCAGAAGCAAGTCTAGAAGTGTACATCCATTAATGTATCATCCATGCAAGTTTGGTCACCACAGGGTTGATAGTTACCTAAGAATGGGCTTGCTCTAAAAAATCTTACCCTATGCAATGATATGGAAAAGGTATGTCAGATCCATGTCAGAAGCATATGAGGTATAGTCATCCCTGAATACATCATCCATGCATATAATACAACCTTCCTTAATAAGACGACAGATGAAGATATGGTGTTAAGCAGTTTGAAGACATTGGGTGTCTACAATGTGTGTGTCTACAATGTGCGTGTCTACAACGTGTGGGTGTCTACAATGTGTGCATCTACAATGTGTGGGTGTCTACAATGTGTGTGTCAAACTCTACAATGCGTGGGTGTCTACAATGTGGGGATGTCTACAATGTGGCTTAGACAAGAAATGTTATAATCAAGTGTTTTACAGAGTGAGATAAAGGTATACTCCCTTGTCACACGATATAGTACAAGTGTGGCCTCACTACAGTAAAACATGCTTATAGCATGTATTATAATAGTGAATACATTTATAATGAATTCACACTTACAGTGAAGTGATTTTCATTCCCTGTGGGCTTAAATCATATTGCAAAATTAACAAATATGATAATGAATTACTTTTATCACTTGTCCCTGGCATTTCCCTATAAACATTTTTTACTGTATCTACATATACAACTTACAACCATTTTATATCTTATTACTGTACAGTTTTTGAAAAGTGGAAGTTAAATTTAATCAAACCCTGTATTGTGTATACTCACTGGTTTAGGGGCTCTGTTGATGCACTTCAGATAATCTCTGTCTGCTAGGCAGTTACCCATTGAGTTCCCAAAACTCCTACATAGATATATTTTAATCCATAAACTACAATCACGTACAATGTTTATCTTAATGATGAGGGTAAATGCATTATAATCATGATAATGTTTCAAACATAGTGAAGTACAAATATACCTCATACAAAGTTTAGATTTGTGGGTTAATTATCTTCTAAAGAGAACACCTTTTCTCCTTTCTACATGTACATGCTTGTTTGACTGTATACTTAACCTTAGTTAGCTATGTACTTAAACATGAAAATTTTACCATGTGTAAGCCTTATTACAATTCTGCCATAGTTTTTTTTTTTTTTTTAATTTCTTGGATCAAACCTTTTTTCAGGGGAATCGGGAAAAAAAAAATGAAAAATACGATAGATTTAGCCTTAAACTAATCCTAATTTTTGAAGAAAAAAAATCCCTAATCCAAGAAATAAAAAAAAAAAAACAAAAAACATGGCCGTATTGATTTTTTGAAATATTCATTTACTGAATTCATGATCACGAAATAGGGATTGATTATGAGGTGCTATAATTACTGGACATCTGAGAGGTTTGAGATTCAATACCCATTTGATTCTCTCCTTGAATGCCCATATGAGCTACTCCTTTGAGTGACCACTTGAACTCCCTTGAGTACGCCCTTGAGTGCCTGCTTGAACTACTCCCTTGAGTGCCCACTTGAACTACTCCTTTGAGTGCCTGCTTGAACTACTCCCTTGAATGCCCGCTTGAACTACTCACTTGAGTGCCCGCTTGAGCCCATCAGTAACAGCCTCTTTTCTTGCTTTCTCTAGGGACAGAGCCTTGGATTTCATTCCTTCACTTACTCCATATCCAATGTCTTCATGGAACACACCATCCTACCAAAAAATTAAACCTTTCTACAATAAATTAAAAAAAAAATAAGCTGAGAATGCTTAGATGCTGAAGGGTCTTGTTTGAGTGTTGTTCAGAGTTCTCCTGAGGTCTCGTTACTCGGTTACATGTAGAATGAAATACAAATACATGTGTACCAGGAGTCTATATTGACTTAGGACAAGATTAGTGACAATATATTCCAGACATAAGTTGATTTTTCTGTCACTTGTCCACATGGACAAGTGAGAAAAAATATGAAGAGCTCTGCTTCTTTCAGTATTTTTGGGAAGTTCTACTGTAATAGAGGTTTTTGCAGAAAAGAGGGGAGGGGTTTTGTCAATTTTATCAATGAAAAGCATGACTGTTTTTACTTGGGAGTTCTTTTCAAATATATGTATACCTTAAATGACAAAGTTTGTTATTTTTAAGAAAATCATGCAAAGAGCAGGGTTTGACATTAAGGCACATCCGACAGACCCAGTCTAGTAAATGAGTAGTCTGGTTGTGTAAAAGGTACGTGAACTAGACCGACTGGTCGTGTGGCTAAAATGACTGTTAAATTCTAAAACCTTATGAAGACTTTTTTTATTTGTCTAATTGTAAACACAGCCAACACTCTGTAAAGAAAAGAAAACTTCCCAACATAACACAATCTCTGTTTTTAGCTGGGCTGTAATAGACAAGTCCCGGTCAAAACTAGCTTGGTTCAATATCAGTTGGTATAAATAGTTACCGAATAATGTATTCTTTAATTACTCAATTAATATTTAGAAAAATTATTTTATTAACATTTGTTGAATGTTCTTTAATGCGTATAATATTTGCATGATCCAATTAACCTGATTCAATTGGCTGTGACCTATCGAACAGTCTATCAAAATATATCTTTATGACCATGTGTGAGAGATCATGATGCCTTTATTAAAGTTTGATTTCAAAAATTATCCTAGTAAAATTAGCAGGTTATAAAGAGGAGTAAATTTGCAAGTTTGGTCAGGGCTAGTGATTTCATGGTCAGGGCTAGTGATTTCATGGTCAGGGCTAGTGATTTCATGGTTAGGGCTATAGCTTAGTGATTTTATGGTTAGGGATAGTGATTTTATGGTCAGAGCTAGTGATTTTATGGTCAGGGCTTGTAAAAGTAGTCCAACTGGTCTAACGCCTTGGCTTTTATATTTCAAATCAACATTTAGAGACTGTGGAGGTTATCCTGCAACATTCACAAAAATGCGAACTTTATTTCTTAAATATCACTACAGCAATCTTTATGATTAAAGTGCTTGCAACTTTAAACCAAGTAACAGCAAAATATTTTGATTAGCGAACGAATCTGAATACTGTCACAGACAAACCTTGAGCTGTACTTTGACAAATGCACTGACTCCTACATAATATCTCCCTCCACTATGGTCAACAAAGTCTACAAGAAAAAAGTACATATATGAAATATATATATATATATATATATATATATATATATATATATATATATATATATATATATATATATATATATATATATATATATATATATATATATATACAATGTATTTATCAAAGACCTTAATATATTTAAAACAAATGCCTTATTTATTTTATATGTTTTATTCGAGTTGGCAGGTATTGTCCACAGTGGTCTACACAACAGTGGGGCAGCCGGCAAACTGGCACATCCCCCAACATCAACAATTAAGTTGTGCCCTCCCTGACGGGAAAAGTAGCACGCTGGGTTGACCTCAATCGTGCTACGGACACATTTCAACACAAATTATCTTTAATTATATTAATTATAATTAATTATATCAATTATATTACATAATTTTGCTTTAGATTTACTCTATATGAGATATAATTTTCAAAGTCAACATCACATATATCAACATCAACCATCACATATATCAACATCAAGCACAACAAGTCAAGAATATAAATAGTTCAATGGTTAAATTGAAGGTGACGATTTCGCCACATGGGCATCGCAGGTGCCCACCGCCACCTGGTGGGGGTAGGCAGCTTCAATTTAACCACCCACCGTGGACCCCTAGCCTACTCAAAACCCTCAGCACCCCACCCACTGTGAATACCACTATCTCATTGTCTCCACTACTCACTGTATCTTCAATACAAGATTAAATCAATTCTTTTCAGCCATCCCTGCTGTATTTAAGATAAATGATCTGGTTTCCCTACAAATTAAGTGTGCCTGAGAACAACCCACCCCCTCCCTGGAATCTTGTACAAGTTTATGTTAATTCTGCTTTGGGTCTTTTTATTACCCTGATATTTTTAGTAACAACAGGCTATTTTTACTGAGGCATGAATAGGAACTAAACTAGTCTGGTGTAAGAAAATATGTAAATAATATCAATCTCTAATCCCCACTCACCCTATTCTTGTATTTTTATTTATTTGTTTATTCATTTATTTATTTTTAAAGTCATTTGAAAAGTTGTAAACTACTTCCAGCTGAGATTGCAAACAAGTAATAATTAAACAAGCACAAATCCTCTTTAACCCCCCCCCCCCCCCTACTTTTCCCATCTGCATATGGCTGCAGTTCCTGCATTGTTGACAATGTTGCAATGACAAAATTTTAAGTGTTATCACATTCCCACTTTGTAAAGAGATTAAGGGATACCTATCTCCCTGCTATCTTTATTACCTAATCTGGAAAACCATTTTTGCTCAACAGCAGCTGCGCTGGTTCTAAAGGAATAAGGTCATACCACTTATTTTTGAAACCAAGCTCTGCCAAAGCCTCTCCATTTAAAATTGATTAAAACATATACTAATTATCTTCCAACCCAAGAGACACAATGGAGGACTATGAAATGTTAATAATTTCCAAAGTATTTGTAGATGTATATGTACTGCACCGGACATGAAGTACCTATATGACTAAATTCTATATTCCAGACCCTTGCCCAGCTGGTACTCTCTCAAAATCTGCATCTTATCACCTTAAACTTCTTACTTCAGGAATTCTGAAACTGTAACATTAATTAGAATGGGTTACCCCCATCCCTCACCCCAAGGCCAAAATATGGTTAAGACTAGGTTGGGGGAAAAATATATGGACTTAAATCTGTTTTAAAGTTGTAAATATGCATAATTATATGAAGGCCAGCATACAAATTAATTGTCCAAGTATGAGCTAAGGCAATGGCAACCTATCCTTTATTTAATACCCTAAAATGCTGGGGAAGTCTTGCTAAAATGAATCTTTAACTCCTTCAGATTTGCATTGTACCCACCAGCTGATACATAGATGTAAACTATATATGCATTGATGATGCATCTGAATCACCTTCGACATTAATATATAAACATAATTATAAAAGTACATGTATGCTAACTGCTTAGTTGAGGGGTGTACACCAATGACATATATGTAATTGGCAATTGGGTTTGAACTGACATTTTTCAATGGAGAAATGCCCATTAAATATATGCATGATATGTGTCTGCAGTTTTTGTAGAATTGCTGTCTTTAAAAAAAACAGTAGCCTCATTTGGGACAACATACAAAACATTGCAGGAAATGGATCAGATTCTATTCAATTCAGGTCTGTGGAACAATATATGTCTAACACCCCTCTCCCTTCAACCCCAAGAATTTGCATCTGCTTGCAAAGCAGATTAATAGTAAATCTTACCTTATGCTCAGTTTTTTATGTTTTATATTTCATGATGAATAAAACCAGTTTCCCAAACATATCACCTTTTGTGAGTTTAAGAACCGTGAATTAAATTTTGAACTAAAGCAATTTTTTTTTTTTTCCCGAGTTAAATTACAAATCTTTTAATTTTCCCACTTAGAGACACAACAGAAACCATCAATGACCAAAAATTAGGCCCAAATTTTACATAATGTTTTATTATAGCCCCCCCCCCCCCAACTGCTTGACCATTGATCAATGCTCCTTTCCAACCAAAACACAGAAGATTCACATCCACAGCCCTGTCCCAATATGCCTGCATTGACTGTAACAATTAAGGAACCCTATAATTTATTCATTTGTCAAAACTAAGTTACTCGACGAGTAAAATTGTAAAAGGTCAGGAAATTTAAGTTGCATAATCATATTTTAAGGTTAACTTACCCTCTGATAAGACAGATAACTCAATGGATTAAATGTGAATATTTCTAATAAACTTGTCAAGTTACAATGTCTTTTGTGACAATTTTATCCTGAAGCTATGCTGAAATTATCTGCATTTCATTTTACCTATTTATTTATTTATTTATTTTTATTTATTTACTAAGACTTGTATTTGTAGAATTTTATTTATATTTGAACCTAAAAGGCCCTTGTGTGCCTAAAAATATCAAACAAGACCAGAAGCTTTTATTACATTGAAAGAAAACTCCCATGATGAAATTAGTTCCTACATGTAAAATCAAACACTTTCCCAAACCTAAACAAGAAATATTCTATATAATTTGATAATAATGTAAGTTTATTTGAGTTTTTGAGGTTAAGTTGAGAAGGTACAAAACTTTTACTTAACACAACTCTATAAATTTATGTATCATACCCAAGGGGCATTAGGGTGCAGGAGAGAGAGGACAATAAACATGTTATCATTAAACCTTCACTCAATTAAAGTACAGGCTCTATCAGAGAAGTTCATGATTATGCAAGGTGGATACAGTTTTGAAAATGACCCTATAGCCTGAACCTCCTTGATTTCCTTTATAATCTTTACTTAACCAATGAGCAGACACAGAATATATATCTGAAATGTGTCTTTGATCCCATCTTAATTAATCTGAACCCATTTGATATCCCGACAACCAAAACAGTAGCTAGCCTTGATAGAATTTGAGTTATCAAAAAACATGGGGAATCCTATCTACCCTAACTGGTGAACAATTGTGTTTTTAAATTGCAATACCCTTCTATTATTGGTCTGGTGGAGGCTGAAATTGTCCTCCTTGTCAAGCCCTACAAGAGATGTGATATCCTGATAGGTGAGGATGCTGCTGGCTCAAATCTGACTGTATTGTGGATTTGGACAATGTACAATTCAACTTAGGGTGCCCATGCCCCCATTTTAAACAGCTGAATTGCTCATTGTAATGCTTCCATCCAACTGATATTTAAGTCTCAAATATATTAAGTCATCATTCATGCATTCATTTTTACCTACCTAGAGTTTTGCCACTACATGTGACAACAGTAAATATGTTGTACAATAATACACATCTACTTCATGTTTTATTCATATGCATATTATAATGCATTATTGTAATACAACATTTTAAAGCACAACAACTTGCTCTGCATGTATTTTACTTTCCATGATTTTATATCATAATTAATTACTGCATTTGTATACAAATGTATCTTTTCCATGCCTCTAGGGGAGGGGGGGGGGGGGGTTGATTGGAAATTAACTATTATCTATATATACACTTAAAAATACAGTACTTCCCTTTGTGAATTCAGCTATATAACATTTGGATGCACTGCAATATATTTACTGTATTTAATTAATTTTCAATCTGTATTTATTTACTTACTGCTTTAAAGGTACAGGGTAGCACTATCCTTGTACAATAACTTTTTTTTTGTCACTAAATGTTTTCAAGTATTAAATTAATAAATATATATAACAAATCTATGTTACAGAAGCCACTGTGAGAATAATATGGATATTCCTCTAAATATTGTGGTCAAGGAACATAAGTATCTAAATATCCGATACGTTTTTGACCTTGATGAAGGGTACCGAATAAATTTGAAGTTTAATTATCATCATTTTCACGCTGGCTCTTTTTTTAAGATAGTTCAACTACGTAACATTTTCTTTATTCAAAATCTGTCGCTGAAATTGGTTATTGCCATTGTTATCCCATGTAACATGTGCCAGTACAATGGAAGGACGGTGTGTCAAATCGATCCGTTTCCATCCAATCAAATATTCGCCATCGAGCGATATAATTGTCAATCAAATAATTAATGATACTTATTTTGACTGAAAATTAACTTTAAAAAACAGAACCCGGAAACATAGTGACTAAGTACCGACACTGTATGGGTGGATAGCAAAATTCCGACTTTACTCAATCATCAGTTTCTCGCAAAATAAGAGACAAGTGATGACATTAATAACAGGGTAGAGCTTTGATAACGACGCATATTGTGAGACGAGCTCAAATATGCGGTAATATATGTATATATATATATATATATATATATATATATATATATATATATATATATATATATATATGTAAGACTTCAAAGTCACAGCAAAGTTCGATGGTCTCTCCAAAGTCTGACGGTTTGCGCCAAACCCTGATGGTTTGATGTCTGTGGGGACGCTAAAGTCCGATGGCTCGTTTCCTATGAGACGCACTGCGCTAAAGTGCGATGGGGTGATACGCCAAAGTCCGACTGTGCGGAGAAACAATCAACGTTTACAGTTTATGACGTCACAATATTCCGACGTCAATCCTTGATGCTCTTGTCCTGCATTCAAAAGCTATCAATTCAGTATTCGTCCTCGCATACAATTTTACTGATTTTGCTTATTGCTTGCACCCATCAGAGTTAGTCCTCGCACACCACTCGACTGATCAGGGTTAGTCCTTGCCCACTACAGGACTGATTATGGGATAGCTTTGCACCAACCTGAGAGACTTAAGGTTAGTCCTCGTACTCTATTCGACTGATTAGGGTTAGTCTTGCACCTGCCCCCAATATCTAGGTTATAGTTCTTACACACTTTTTTGACCGATTAGGGTTAGTATCGCACCTATCCAAGAGATTAGGGTTAGTCCTTGCATATAATATTTATTTTTGTACAGTGTATTTATTTAAGACCTTGGAATGACGTCACAAACGTTAAATGTGTTTGGCACCAACAGACTTTGGCGTGTCAAACCATCAGGGTTTGGTGCACACCATCGCACTTTGGCGTGACCATCAGACCAGGGATGGGGTAATCGTAATCGAGTAATCATAATCGACTGTAATGATTACTTTTCTTCAAGTAATCGACAGTAATCTGTAATCGAAGAGATTTTCGATTACTTGTAATCGTAATTTAATTGATTACAGCTAAAATTTTCAATGTAATTATAATTACTTTTTCGATTACTTTCAATTATTTTATACATAAATGGATGTTATTTTGGAGAATTATT